AACACCGGAGCCATTTGTGAGAGAAAATCCAAGAGCATTTGGTCATTGACTGGATTAGGAAAAGGTCCTAGAGCATCAAACCTGAGTGCGTGACAGCCCCAAGAAAAGGAAAGGAAGTTCCCCCGGTGAGAGGGGAATCAGAATTCAGCATTGGGCTTCATGTGTCTGGCTGACATTGAAGCATCAAAATGGAAAAGTCCAGTGCTCATTGGGAAAAAGGAACTAGAAGTCATGGGAGCTGACAGAACTGGAGATAAGTGAGAGTCATCAGCTCAAAGGAGATAATTAACATTCCTGAGAAAATAAATATGAAAGCTTTCATAATGCATTAGCACAAGAGTGTTGTTGTTTTGTTTTGTTTTTTGGTCTTATAGCTAAAGAAAAGCCAAGAGACATTAACAAAATGACCTCACCTCTGTTTTAGAATTAGATGGAATGTAAGTTAACCATATATTTTAATAACTGATGTTTTCATGAGAAGAAAGAAATGTCTGTCACAGCAATTGAAGACAGAACACAGGGCCCTTGACCTTCTGAAATACTTCTTTCCATATTCACTCTGGCAGTTTTGTATTGTATCAACTTAGCCAAGCTGGTACTACATTTCCCAGAATCCCCTTCCCTGTATAGTCCTGGGTTAGGGTTGGCAGGAAGAGAAATTTGCATGAGGCTTGAAAGGCCCAAGTGACACTTCAGCCCTATGTTGGGGAGAGGGGGGAGGGTGGGACAGGGCCCTAGACATCACTGCAGCTTGTGCACATTGTAGTGAGCTGCTGGTTCTCCTTGTTGGTGTGAGGGGACAGCTAGTGTGACCAGATCTCCTCCAGCTTCTTCAACTGCTAGGCTAGCCACACTGTCAGGTCCCTGTGGAGAAGGACACCAGTTTTTCTACAGGTGGCCTGCATCATCGGAGTTGAGGTGATGAGAGACAAATGTGGGCTCCAGTTTCATCTCATGGATTCCATTTTGTCCTAGCAAGGTCTGTTGTCCTTGCCCCCCTGCTGGGAATCCAGCTTTTCCTCCCGTCTGCCCTGCTGACCTACGGAGACTTCAGGCTGCAGCCTGATGCAGAAGCAACAGCCTTCCACAGACATCTTCACCAGCTTCCCTTCGTGGCCCCGAGTAGTGTCTTTCTCCTTTTCCTCTAATCGTCCCTTCCAGACCTTTGCTTTCTCAGCATCTCCTACAACCATGTTAGGTCTAAGCCCTGAAAGAAATTCCTTATCCAGTATCACTCACATTGCTTTCGCTTCCCTGATAGAATTGCTCACATGGTCTTATTGTCCAGGCCTTTCTACACCCAGCTTTCCTTTAATTGACTGTACTTTGTACATTTCACTTGTTCTCAAGGGACCATTAGCTGTCAGAAAAGGATGATGAAATTTTAAAATGCATATTCATATTTTAAATAGCCATCTTGATAGACTGAGAACAGTATTAAAACACTAGCTACAATGATATCTGGGGACATTATCTACAGGATTTAAGTGCCTGACCCTGGGACCCCCCATAGAACCCAGAACTACCCATCTTCAGTTTTAAGTGAGAGACAGAAAGAAACTCCTATGTTGCTTAAACCACTGTTTTTTGGTCTTTGTTATAGTGGAGTTTGAATTCTAACCAATATACACATTAAACATTATTTTAATCAAGTTCAGTTATTCAAGTAAATGCACATCCAAAACTTCTTATCATTATCCTTCTCTTTTTTCTGTAGCCCAGACTTATAAAAATTATATGCTTACTTACCTAGCAGAGTTTCAGAAAAAGAGATACTGTTGCTATCTTGAATAAAATGCAGGGTGGCCCATTGAACAGTCTCATGTGATGGACAGTGATATACTATTTTCATTCATTCTTACGTCTAATGCATCTTCATGGAGAGCACTGAACTAAAAATAATTAATCTTTACATCAAGACCAACATAAGACCGCCTATTCTTATCTTGGACTGGGGATTAACACTGAATTTCAGAAGACAAGAGATGTTTTCATTTTTTGAGCAAGTCAATTAACTTCTCTGAGATTCAGTGTCATCATTTGTAAAATCTGGCGAATACCCGTCACAGGCTTCCAAAGTATATGAAAACTTTCTAACACAGTATTTGACATAATAGGTACCAATACATATTAGTTGACTCTAAAGCTTAAATTTTATTTTAAAAATTCATATAGAATACTATTTAAGTAATTCTAAAGGGTAAATACAACAGCCTTCAATATTTTTTTTTCAAAATCAGATTGCGTTTTCTGAAAAAGGGAACTCTTACTGTAATATAATAATGTATCAAGTGATATGTTAGTGATCAAGGATTTGCTACATTTTTCAAAGTTACCCCAAAACGAATGATAGAAGGGTAGCACGAGCTTAGAAAGACTCTTACCATGAATAACTTGGTTCTGGAAGTTACAGATCAGTGTCTCTCACGTTTATAATATGCAACTTGTCACAGTCCCTGCCAACCTGAAAGTTTCTCTGAATTAAAACGAAGAGGGCATCCTTTTCTTTTTGTTAACCTTTTTCTTAGATTGTGAGTTGATTCTTGGTCTTTCAAATAATTGGATCAAGAAAATTGATACAAAAAAGAAATGTTTTTAGTTTTATGATGAATATACAGGAAAAACGATGTGGCATTGGGAATCAATGAAGCAACAGTTACTATCTGTAATTTTATCAAAAGAGTAACATTTCTTGTACTAATTAATACAGAAAAGTTCACAAACAAGATTAAGCTGTTTCTGGGTACAAGACAGCACTCATATCTTGCCTTCTCATAGAGTTTAAAGAGTTTCTGAAAATAAAAATGTAAAATCCTTGCTCAGATTTCATTAGCTTTATGTATCAGTGTAATCATATACGTAAGTTTTACATAGACTTCATGTTTATGCCCCTCTATATGTTGAAACCTGAATCCCCAATGTGATGGCATTTGGAGATGGGGTTTTTGGAAGGTAATTAGATCATCAAAGTGAAGTCCCCATCATGGGATTAGAGCCCTTATAAGAAGAGACACAAAAGAACTAGTGTTCTCTCTCTCTCTCTCTCTCTCTCTCTCTCTCTCTCTCTCTCTCTCCTTTCTCCTTACCATGTGAGGACACAGCAAGAAGGTGGCACCTACAAACTAGGAAGCAAAATTTTCCAGCCCCTTGATTGTGGACTTCCCAGCCTCCAAACTGTGAGAAAAAAAAAAACAACAACACATTTGCTGTCTAAACCACACAATATTTGATACTTTGTTATAGCAGCCAGAATGGCTAAGGTAAGTGTCCAACAGGTACATACCTAAGATAATTAAATCCTGAAACAATGGTAGAAACCTATTTCCTGTAAACTGTTCATTAATGGCATTTATGATTGTTAAGTCTTTTAAAAGCAGGGTCTAGGTTCAGAAACAAATCAGAGAGCTGAGGCTGATGGTCATGTGCCTTTTCCTCTACCTGCCCCTGCACAGTCCCTTATGGGGAAATCTTTCTACTTAAAGTGCCAGAGAAAGGACCAGCTCTGGTCATCAGTGTTTTGGACCATGTGGCCCAATCTTGCCATTACTGATTAGACCTAGTACTTGGCGCAGCAAAAAGTAGAGTCAATGGGATCCCCTCTCTCACTCTGGCATTTTAGGGAATCAGTACCTAGAGACTGATCTTACTTAGAAGTGAGTGTAGACTGAAAGATGAAGAAGTAGAGTTGGAGGAGAGACCATATCAGCCATGTGCAAGTCGAGGTATTAGTAACTGAGATTAAGTAGGCCGAAGGAAGATTGCTGACCAGAAGGAAGATGCAGAAGTACATGGGTCAGTCTATTCAACTGTAATCTCTTTAAAGGCAAAGGACATTATCTGTCTTGTTCACCAGCATTGAGCATAGTTGTTGGTTACTAAAACTTATTAAAAATTAGTTACCCCATACATATCACTTGAATAAACAGTCAATGAGTTAACAGTGGATGACTAACACAGCTCTAAAATTACTTTCTTTCCAGAAACATCATCCAGTTCCTGGAGCCAGAAACCCACATTTATCCTGAGATTTCCTTTCCTTCAACACAGCCCATGTCTTCTTACTATTCCTAACTTCCAACTTCCAACGTGGCCCTTTATTTGAGCAAGTTTGTTTGGAACTTGATTCTTTTTAACAAAGGTTTTAATACCAATTGAGAGAGTGGGGGGGGATTGAGAAAGAGTTGAGGCTGGTAGAACTTAAGCACTCTATTTTCCAGGGAGATATAAAGAAGACATTTTACAACTTCTCTACAAAGAAGTTTAGACTTTTGGGCTGAGACTAAAAGACTAGGGAACTTCAACAAACAACCTAGTCTAGCAAACCCTAGAGTGTTTGCTCCAGAGAAGGGTTTAAAGTTTGTCATTGGAGTAGACTGGCTACATAAAATAAAGCATCCTGTAGCTAACTCTCTGTAAATTGTATGTACTCTGTTTAATAGGAGTAACTTGACTCCCATTCTCCTGTTTAATAGAGGAGAGTAAAGACCCTGGGAGGTTACTGTAGTGATAAAATATACTTAAAGAAATAATACATCTTCTTTCTCATCTCATAATTGCCTTCTTCTTCATTATTACTGGAATGCATCCACTATTGTCTTTAAGAAAATCTTGATCTTTTTCTTCCTTTCACCTATGAAGAAACTCTTGAATGATATGTAAAAAAAAAATGTTATCCCAGTAAACTTTGCTTTCAGAAAACAATATATTCTCTTGAGCAATAAATATCTTTCAAGATCTGATTCATCTCCAATGAGCTAGTGTTAAAGTATCCTCATGTGACAAATAATGGCAAACTTACTCTTCGGGGGAATAATGGCCCTGCACATTTCACTAAGCAGGTGTAATCCAGGCATACTTTCTGCCAATATTATCCCTGTTCTGCTCCCAGTAGTAGTTCTATGTATGAAATACTACAGCAGTGGGATGCTCTCACTGGTCAAAAGCAATTCACTAGCATTTATAAGGAATGAGGAGGAAAGAATAAAAAATAATATACTTACTTGGTCCTAGACCAATTGAAAAAGCAGCGACATAAACAAGCAAGCTGGCTAAGGACAGCCATTTCCAAAAAGGTGGAACTTCCTCCAGATCTGTGACTTTCTGGTATTCGGTTGGGCTCAGTCCAGCATTTAGGAAGGATCCTGAGGTCATCTCCCCTCTTTTATCCACATCATTTCTCCTGGGCATTAGTGAGCTTCTGCTGTGGGGAATGATCCCCTTAAAGGGCTCTCTAAGAGTTTCGTTACTGGCTGACACATTTTTTGATCCATAAAACACAGATTCATCCAAGGACAGGTTGGTAAGACTATAGCTTCTGCAGATATTGGTGAAGTTCATATGGATGTTGAGATTCACAATGCCCATGGTCACCAATGAAACTGCCATCACAGAAGAGCCAACACAGAGGAAGGTTTTGCCCCCAACATGGTCTACAAGAAGCGTGGCTGGGATAGTGCTGATGACCTTGACAACCCCAACCCCTGTGGAAGCTAGGCTAGCTGCCTCATCACTTTGGAAGCCAACAGATTTCAAAACAGTTGATGCATAGGATAATATGTTTGGCTGGCCAGTGATTTGAACAAAAAACACCAGTGTTAGGCCTATCATTATTCTGGTTCTCATGTTGTCCTTCGAACGAAACAGATCCCAAAAACTATACTGATATTCATCTTTCAGGGAAGATTTTATTAGAGTGAGTTCCTCCGTTGTATCTGAGGTGGCTCTCAACCTTCCGAGAACCTTGCCAGCAGCTTCCTCCTGTCCTTTCATCACCAGAAACCGGGGACTTGGAGGAAGAAAGTACATTCCAGTCGCTTGCAAAACTCCCAAGGGAATAACAAGGCCGAACATATACTTCCAGCCGTGGGAAGCATTGGCAAATGCATAATTTGAAATATAGGCAAAAAGAATGCCAATGACAATCATCAACTCGTTCAGTGACACAAGAAGACCCCTTCTGTTTTGTGGGGCAATCTCGGCGATGTAAACACAAGTGGCAATTGAAGAGAGCGAAATGGAAACCCCTATAGCAATGCGTCCCACTATAAGAACCGTGTAAGATAAACTGAGTATCAAGACTAGGCTTCCAAGTACAAGTAAGCAGGATGACAAGATGATGGCAGCCTTTCTTCCATACCTGTCGATTAGGACCCCTCCCATGAGAGAGGTGAGCAAGGCTCCAATGAGGAGGGAGCTCACAACCATTTCCTGCTCCGGGCACGACAGGGCTAACAAGGTTGCTAGCTGAAGAAGAGCTCCGGAAATGATCCCAAGTTCATAGCCCATGAGGAGGCCACTGACAGCAGCCGTGACAGATGACAGGACAGTCAACATGCTGCAACCTACAAACAGAGAGGAGAAACAGAGGGTTCAGTTCTGAATCGTTATTTTCAACATTTTATGTCTGAATGGAGACTTAACCTTGTATAAGTACATTTTTAATAGCACTAAGTATAGACACCCACATAAGTACAGTACAATAATATGCTAACCAAAAAATAATGGTTAGCTAGAAAAGGAAATTCCATTTTTCTTTTGTTTTTGGGAGAAGAGTGGAGACATTTCGGAAGTCAGTTCCTTCTATTTGTGATGTTAATGTTTTAAGTTTTGAACCAACAGTTATGCAACATAAGCATGTGACAGATGACAAAGACTGAACAAGAACACCTTTAGCTCCTGCCTTGGTGCTGGATCAGAAATTTGATAGCCTGGCTTTTCTGGTTCCACCCTGGTTCTCTAAAGGCAAATGCTTGAGGGCCGGATTGAGAGGGTGGGAGCCTCAGGAAGGGCTACCAGCTTCCCACTGTGTACCCTGGGGGGAGTGGGGCACAGTCTCCTTGGCCACGGTTGGGCCACCATTGGCTTTTGCTGAAGCATATGAAGGCGCGGGACCGGGTGGAGTAGGTGTGAGTACCTTAACAAAGTCAAGGCTGTATCAGAAAGAAGGAAGGGAGACATGGACGCAGAGGAAGGAACCAACATGTCCATTACCGGCTGTGAGTAAGGAGGAAAGGATGAAACATAAGGGCAAAAGCTCAAAAGGGACATCAATTGTTCTATTATTATTATGTTAAAATCCAAGGAAAGTGGCAAAATGTTAACAGTTATTAATTTTTGGTGGTAGGTACACAGGTGTTTGTTATGTTTCTAACTTGCTGAAACAGAAACAAACAAAACAAGTAGCTGAGGGAAGGGCATTGCAGGCACAGGAAACAGCAGTTTCCAAGGCCTGAGGTCATGTTCCTCACCTGTCAGGCAGCCAATACATCTGGTGTGGGGCGTAGTATGAACTTGGAGAGGGAGCCGGGACAGGGCATCAGTGAGCATGACTAAGTACAGAGGGGACACTTCATGTAGGCCTGGCGGGTCACAGTGACAACTTTGTATCCCAAGTATAATGGGGTCAATGCCCACTGACTGGTAAGAGGGCAGTGACCCTGATTTCTGCTGCTGTGGGCAGACGAGTTCTTCAAGGGCAAAGAGAGCATCAGGGAACCAACCAGGTGCTGCCTTAGTCCTCGACCATCTAGCTTAGACTTTGGTGTGAGGAGTGGAACTGAAGGCAAATGGATTCAAGAGTTAATTTGGAGGTTAAAAAAAAAAAGATTACACGTCCTCATGAACTGAAGTTGGAGGGTGAGGAACCCGAGATGGCTCCATGGGTTGAGTAAGTAGTTGGTTGCGACTGGAAAGAGCATTGACTATGAGTGGGGGTAAGAGGAGCAGCGGAAATCGAAAGTTCCATTTTAGACTTACAAAAACATTTTGTTTGTTTTACCCAAGTTGGGGATTGAGTATACAGATTTGCAGCTTCAGAGGTAGGTCAAGGCTGGAAATACGTATCTGGGATTCAGGAGCATGCGTCCGGTATTTCGAGCCATGGGAATGAATGAGATCACTTAGGGAGACAGAATCGAGAAAAAGGAGAAGTAGACTAGACCTCAGACCTAGGGTACAGCAACATTTAGAAGAGAAGGCAACAGTAAAGGAGATGGAGAAGAAGCAGAAAGGAGATTTGTGTAAAGGAAGTAGAAACGTGTGCTTGGGCACAGTGATCGCAGGCTGAGCTGAGGCTATTTGACCCTGACGAAGCAGGAGTTGAGTGTGGGGTTAAAAATGCTGTTCAGCTCTAGTGAAAGAAGCAGGACAAATACAAGTGATCTAAATCTCTTCCACCACAAATATCCAAGGTACTTTACAGCTCCAGGATTCTGGTAGGATATAAAAAAGTGGGAGACTCCAAAAAATTTAGAAGAATTGACTATTTAGATGGAACAAATAACAATGCAATAAGCCATAATTAAATCATAAAAGTAATTTATGAACACTTCAAACACAAACCACTGAATTGGATTTCAATCACCAGCAAATCATGAAAACAAATGAATATTTGCAACATTACACGGCAGGCATTTTCTAGGTACTTGGGGGTACCTATATACCAATGAAACAAAACAGACGTGGTTCTTGCCCCTGAAGAAACTTAACATTCTAATGAGTCCCTATTATCTACTATTTATTGTGTACTGTTTTGATTTTTACATACAAAATGACTTTAAAGTACTCTCTGGTAGCTTCACTTATGCCCTCAGTTTCCACATATTCTTTTCCCACGTGATCTTAAAAGCCTCAACAAATCCCTCAACCACAAGAAGAATTGGGTCAAATTCTCACATTTGGTTAAGGATATTCTTACATTCCTTTGTATTTCTACTTGTTATTCTTCATTTTATTTATGTTTGATGTGTTGATCAGCATATATGTTTTAGCTCTTGGTCTCTAATATTCAGATTGGAGAAAGAAGTGATTTGGAGAATGAAACACTCATGAGACAGACTGAGTGAGACACCCCAGAAGGGAATTCAGTGTGACAGAGGTCAGCATGGGGATACTGAGTCAAGGACATAGGGCAATGGGTGCCGGGATTGTCCCCTTCCCCTTCCTAGTTCTCCCTTTGTTAGTTGGGAACCAGTGCTTCCCCACAAAAGGAAAGACCCCGAGAAACACCAGAGTCCCTTCCTTTGATGCTCTGTTACTTTAGAGAGAGTCTGAGGTGGCGGGTTGGGGACCAGTGGGGTGAGGGGTGGGGCCAGCCAGCTTTTTATAGTCTGGGGGAAATGTCTTCCAAGAGGAAAAGGATCCAGCTTTTTCTTCTGCTTTCTGGATTTAACTTCATATGCCTCATTCTCTTAGCCAGGGCTCACAGGACACTGGCAAACGGGTGTGTGCAAAGGGTCGGAAGCCAACCAGTTTGTCAATGTCCCTCTTGAGAGCCAGCAGCTAGTATTGAGTATAATTCTTCAGAGATATGACAAATTATTTCTATAAGAATTGGTTAGTCCTGGCCGGTTTGACTCAGCGGTTAGAGTGTCGGCCCTCAGACAAAACAGTTGCAGGTTCGATTCTGGTCAAGGGCACATACCTCGGTTACGGTTCATCCCTGGCCCTAGTTGGGGTCTTGTGGGAGGCAACCAGTCGATGTGTCTCTCCCACATTGATGTTTCTCTCTTTCTCTCTCCCTCCCTGCCTCCCTCCCTCCCTTCCATTCTATCTAGAAAATAAAATAAAAAAAAATGTTAAAAATGTTTTCACAAAATTATAATATATATGTATGTGTGTGTGTATGTGTATATATACATGTATATATATATATATGTATATACATCTCACTTTATCTATCTAATCTGTCTAGGGAATTTGCCTTTAAAAGCTTAAACAGTTGTACCCTATATGCAAATGAGAGGGCATGCCAACGTGGGTTTTATGCTTCAGAATTGAGCTAAGATCTTCTCTGTCTGAATTTTAATCAATGAGTATACCTTCCCCATTGTATGTTTTCAGGGCTACTTCCCCAAACTTGCTTCCCGGCTCATCTGATGACTGCTACTTGTTAGTGCTGAATTTCTATGACAGTCCTCAAGCTGCTGGGCCATTCGGGGTTTTAATTCCAGTTCAGCGTGGAGACCTAGTCCCTAATGCTCCCAAGAGTGCAGCCCTACGACCCCTTAGGACTTGGCAGCAGTGCAGAATGAGCCACTCCAAGATGTGACTCAGTGGTATGTAGATTATTTTGAGCTAAAGGCAACCAAGACTCTGTGGGCTCAAGAGAAACTGCTCTTCCCTTAACTACCCGGAAGAATTGAAATAAAGAGTTTGGCCCATTATAAGAGTTATCACCAGAAATAACTTTTTTCTCACCTACATGTCAGGGCAGACTGTGAACATGCCCTCTCCCTGCCAATGCCTTCGGAAGCCCCAGGCACCTCACCTCATCCCCAGCTCAGCATGCCGTATACACCTGCCTCAGTTTCCCTTTCTATCTCTGCTGCTTTCGTGTATGCGGAGTTCCCGTACAGATGTACGTAACTAAATCTGGTTATTTTCTCTTGCTAATCTGCCTCGTGTCTCTGATTATCAGACTGGCCAAAAGAACCTTGAAGCAGAGGAAAGTTTTCTCTTCCCCCTTACTTCCATCACAGGACATTTTCCTGGTGCTATTTTACCACATAAGACAATGAAGAGAGATGCAAAGAGTGGGCTTTTCCCTATGTCTACTTTTTGGTTGATGATGATAAAGCAAGATGCTATCCTATGGACGCCAGAAAGTAAAGAGAACTTTTCCAAGAACTCTGTCAGGGAACAAGAGGAAAGACAAAGGAGGAGGCAGGAAGGTGAGATTTCTATTTGCCTGAACAGGACGGGAGAGTTTGGAGCCGCTGGGCGGACAGGAGAAGCAGCCAGGGCTGAAGGAGCGAGCAGGGTGAGGAATCACAATTAGTGCCTTTTCAAAAAGCAAAAACAAAACACCCAACCCTGAAGTCAAACAGTCTGCACTTAATATTCCTGGTGGAGTTTAGCTTTCCCAGGCCTTGCTTGTAGCCTTGCTCTACAGGGGCCCTGCTTTGACACCCCTGCCTTCTCCAAAAGCACCATAAGGAAACTTTAACGTTTGTGGACATCACAGAAGTGGCAACTATCTGGAGGCTGCCAGCTGGTCCCAGAGGCCGCTGGGTCATGCCCACTGCCTGCGTTGCTGCTTTGCTGGACCAGCAGTCAGATGATGCAATGAGGATTGTTTAATAAGGTAATGAAATAAAAATGTTCCTTTCAAAGATGCGATCGCAGCCAGGAGGTTTTTTGTAAACAAGAGCACTGAGACCCTCAGCGAGGGCACAAAGGACAGGCAGCCCCCAAAGGCCATGGGACTGCAGCCACTACTACAATAGCTGCATTGTCTGCCCAGCTCGTGGTGACTCAGATGAAACCACAACTAACTGCAATGCACCGAAACACTCAGATTTTTTTTTCCACAATATTTGAGTTTCTGCCTGCTTTCTTTTTC